GCGGCTCTTCCTGTTTTAGCCTCGAAACCGGACCGCTTTGGAGACGACGTGTCACGTGACGACGCGAGCGCCTGCGCGACGTGTGACGTGACGACGCAAGCGCCTGCGCGTCGCGCCAGAGTCGGCGAATGAGTGCGGACAAAGGTGAGTAAAAAAAAAACATGTTATTTTGTTATAAGTCCAGATACGTACACTCATGGCGGCTGATCGCCGATTCCAGCAAAGACAAGAAAGTAAACAGTGGGGACGCACGTTCTAACCTAACCTAACCTATTCTAATAATATAATTGGTAATAATTATGATAATTTATTAGAATAGGTTAGGTTAGGTTAGGTTAGAACGTGCGTCCCCACTGTTTACTTTCTTGTCTTTGCTGGAATCGGCGATCAGCCGCCATGAGTGTACGTATCTGGACTTATAACAAAATAACATGTTTTTTTTTTACTCACCTTTGTCCGCACTCATTCGCCGACTCTGGCGCGACGCGCAGGCGCTTGCGTCGTCACGTCACACGTCGCGCAGGCGCTCGCGTCGTCACGTGACACGTCGTCACGTGACACGTCGTCTCCAAAGCGGTCCGGTTTCGAGGCTAAAACAGGAAAAGCCGCCATGATGGTCTACGACCCTGGACATTAATAATTCATAACATACCGGATCTTGAATGATACCCCTAACTTTGACTGAGATGGAGGACTCTCATGATTGTCGGTCCCCGTGCACTCATTGGATGGTGAAAGGTTACGTTTCGAATTATGATTATTTGGCTTTTTTTATTTGTTGGTCTGTAGGGGCTCGACAATGCTGGCGTCCTCTCATCTCAGAGCTAGAATCTTACAACTCAAATTACAATTCGTTTATCACATGTTCTTACCTCTTTGGAATCATTGTGAAGTTCGATGGCAATTTCTGGTTTTTCGTTCTTCAGCTGGATATTTAAATATCCGTGTTTAAACGTAACAAAATGTTTGGAAAATTGAAACAAAACCTCAACTTACCCCAATGGATTCCGAATCCTTAACTTGAGTAGCCAATCTGAAAAGTATTAAAAAATTACTTAATTAACTTGTTGGATTCTTCGAAGAAAATAAAATGAATCAAATGATTTTCTTACTGTTTCGAACATAAATTGCCCATTTTTTATTTTGGAATCAACCTTTAAAGCGAACAGAATATTAATTTGTTGAATTTAATAATAAGTCGAAAAATTATAACGCAATAAATGCTTATTGCTATTATATCTTTGTTTTGCATTGTCGAAAATACAGAAAACGTAATAAAAACACTGTACATCAAGGGCATATCCAGGAAAAAAGTGTCTATGATATCCTGCGACATTCTCTTGATACCAAAGAAATCAGTTTTGTTACTAAAAACAAATATAATAACGTCTATCGCATGATTTAAATTAAGTAATGTTAGGTAAATACAGTAATTTAAAAAAAATTGAGTAACATTGTCCGAAAAACGTCTGGGGTACGTGCTTTAGTTTCCCGAATCTACCTTAAGCAGTACCCATATTTTCAAATCCTGGATACGCAGCTGCTGTAAATAGAGAGGTTGTGGCCTTGGTTGTGGCCAACGTTTTCATCGTCATTCGTAATACTAAAAACATTTAAACCACTGTTGGCATTAAACTACTCTTTATCAAAATAACAATTACGTTGATATTCTAATAAGTGATACAATATCACGGCGTGGTTAAAAAGCATTCTCTTGCTGCTCTTCTTTTCTCATGCAGATCAACGCTCGCGCGACCGACCTAGTGTATTATCCGTCATGAGTAGTAGTTTCAACTTCAATTTGTCATATGTCACTAACCTGGATGGATCCCCGGTTGCTCTGGGGAACCCGGGATCGAGTCCGGACGGGCCATGGAATCCCCGAGAATTTTTCGGAGGGTGGTCCGTTCGGATTATGTCGGGCCCGGTCTCTCACCACTCGATCGCTCAATTGTGGGTTTGACCGAACCCACAATGGGTCTGCTGTTATAAAAGGCCCTCTTAGTGCCCACAGGGCGGAAAGAGTATAAAAAAATGTCATATGTCGCTCATTATGGTCCATAGATTGAAACTGTTTGGATGATTGCATTACTATTAGAAAAGCACTACCATTTTGCCAAAATTCATCAAAATCGGCTTGGGACATAGATATAGTACTCCTCTTTTTTAGCAAATCTATTATGATTTGGCCAGGTCCACAATGGAGCGGCCGGATGGTGAAGGACTGGATCCGACATATCCTGGGATTTCTCTACCTATCCGAATTCGATCCCGGAACCCCAGAGCAGTGAGTTTTACCTTAACCGCTCGGTCATTTTATTTTATTTTTTATTCAATTATAAAATAATTTATTGTTATTTTTAAACTATAAGTTAAAGAATATAAATGAAGTTCATTTTGAATTTTGCGAAAAAATTGGAGGCAGCAATTGGCAACACGGTATCCATCTTTGTTTTGCGGTTTTTGTGGTATTTGTCGTAGAGAACATTTATAAGTCAAAGTATGTTTATTTTACGCTATTTTTACTATATGTGTGATTTTAAATGTCGTTTAAATTCATTTTTGAAATCGTTTAGAAGTTTCTGTACTAATACAGGTCGTAGAAACAAGATTTTATGAAAATCAGCTTTAAAATGTATGTTTCACATACATTTAAATGTCCAAAGCGAATATATATACGCACGCACACACGTACACGTGTGGGGTGAATGCGTACATAAATGTGCATATTCATACGTGTAAGGTGACCATCCCGGATTTAACTTTTTTTAATCCAAAAAATAGAATAAAACTTTAAATTGGACCATTTTATAGCTCTTCTAATGCTAAATAATCAATTTATAGATCAATATATAAATGATTTTAATCTAAGTTTAGTCATTTTTACAACCATTTTTCATTTGCTCTTTAAAACTCTCCTGGCTTTGGCAATAAAAACTATGGTTACTCTTCATTTTCACTGGATGCTCGCCCTCTAGTGTTTAAAAACAGAACTCTTTTATCTGGGTCATTTGAATCATTCTGTATTGCCAACAGTAAAAATTAATAGCAGTAGAAAAAGAAAGCTTTCTGTTGCATTCCAAATTGCAATTTCAAAGCCATGCAGGAGCCCAATATAAGTTTTCGTCGATTCCCACGTGAAAAACAGATGATTATTTGGAAATCAGAATGCGGAGCTCATAAATATAACCGATGGAAAGACTATTAAGAATTGGCAAAAAATTTTAATGTTTAAAATGCCAGTATATTTGTGTGGACACAGGGCCCTAAGCTGAACACTGTGTCAGGCCCCTTACCAACTATCACATTTTTAGAAGTCAATCATGAAAAGAATTAACAAACATACATATTAATTTCTTTTTATTTTGTGTAGTATTTAAAGTATATTTTGTTGGTTTGTAAAAAAAATTTATTAGAAAATGTTACTTCAATTTTCTTTTTGTAGAAATTTTTTGAGGCCCATTGAAACTTGAGGCCCTAAGTGAAAAGGTAACTTAGCTTGCTTGTAAATACAGCCCTGTTGGGACAGATGTCAAAGCTAATGCTTTTACAATTATATTTTCATTTATTTTTATAATATCATATGTAATGACGCATTCTGTTAGCAATAAAGGTTCTATAAATTTCTCGATAAACAGCTAAAAGCAGCATATATCATTATATCAGGCTGTAAATATATGATTAATTTTTTATGTAGACTAGTTACAAGCAACTCAGATACTAGTCCTATGATCTTGATCCAGATAAAGTAGCCATTTTGTAAAAATGCAGCACCCTCTATAGTTTATGAAAAATGCAAATACTGGTTGTTCCTAAAGTGGGTGTTGAGTAAATCATGGGTAGGTGTAAAGCAAGTGGGGGACAGAAGGTGCCAGAGACAGGTTACCAAATGGTGACCGTAGGCAAAAGTCACTGATAAGTTTTCCCTTTTCTCTGTTAAAACGAGTAAGAAGAAACATTTCATTTAATGGTTTCTGGATGTAGAGAATAATGTATGGACACAAAGTGTGAGGTTTATAGAAAAGTTTTTTTAAGAATATTTCTGAGTCTTTCTCACACAGGAGAAAATGGGTTAGGGGACGTTGGGTTTAACTTTATGGAGGCAATAGGGCGGTGACTCGAAAAAGTTTGGGAATCACTGCTCTATATGATACCCCTCTACTCTATGATACACCTTGTAATTATTCGGGCAGTTGGCGGCAAACAAAAATAATAATAATTCATAAACATTAAATTGTTTGGAATTTGCTGTTTACTGTTATACTGTGGCTGTCCTATTTTTATCTATTACATAAGTAGACTAGTTATGAGGATGGATGTGGATGCGAGAACAGGAAGGAAAGGGTGTTGGGAGTCCTGTATTGGCTGTACCAAAATCTAGTCAGTTTATCTATATGAGTATATAAAATAGACTATGTACTGTATATAGCTTATATATGTATAGTACAAATACCATGTGTATAGACATATTTATGGATATTTATATACATCTATATGTAAAGTACATGTAGCCTACACATCATAGCTACTGTCCCTTCTCAGGACTTCTTATCAAATAATTTTTTTCCATTCCATTTAACCATTTTTCCATCCATTTTTTCCATTCCAATTTTTTCAGATCTTTGAATAATTTCATTACTTGAAGATCTGAGACTTTCAATTGGAAGAAACTAATGATGCGATGAATAGTATATTCGGCTCAGGCTGAATACCGAATATTTGGCCAGGAGCATGGCCAAATAGCTAAATGTTTGGCCAAACTATTCAGCTTGATTAACACGTGCGAAAATTGGTGTACAAACTGCATTATGGCAAGGATCGCTCACCCTGCTCTCTGTGGGCTGCTGTCACTACGCTTCGGCAATCGCGTTAATTCTTGACAGTTGTAGCGGACAGACATGACCATCATGGCAATATGTGATAAGTGATGATATCAAATGTGGATAACAATGAAATGACCTACATGTGTAAATAACAGAAAAAGAACAGAGAAGGACCGCGAAGTGAAAATGTGAAAGTAAATATGAAATTGAGTTGATAACATAATCAAACAAGTTGAGGCAGCTTATTCGAATGAAATTCATGGCCGTCAATGCCAAATAATTGTTCTTATAGACTTCAGAAAGCTAAATGTTTGTAATGAAAGTCACTTAGCATATTTGATGTTTTACATAAATAAGCAAAAAATTGCACTTTCTTGAACTTGAAATGTATGTTTAGTTAATAAATCAGTAATAAAAGCTACCAAAATGATTAATTTACTGTGTTTTTGTTATTTCTTACTCCTGTTTTTAGGTATTCAGTATTTGGCCGAATAGTAACCAAATATTCATTGCATCATTAGAAAAAACAAATGTTTAATTTAACTATTATTTTACAGATGCAGTTTATGTTACTGTTTAGTCGACAAGGAAAATTACGTCTTCAGAAATGGTATGTTGCTCATCCTGATAAAGTAAAAAAGAAAATTACTCGTGAATTAGTAACGACAATCCTGGCTAGGAAACCAAAAATGTGCTCTTTTCTAGAATGGAAAGATTTAAAGATAGTGTATAAAAGGTAATTATATTGATTAAGATTTATTTTTTTGTAAAATTAAACTCCAATGAATAATTTAAAGGTAACTTTATATTCTTCTCAACAGACAGAATATTAAAAAGTTTTATTTATAAATTACTGTGTAATCTTGCACAGAGAATAAAATTTAGTAATTTTTATTGGTTGAATTGAGTTAATATTAGCGATTAAAAATTTATATGTAATTTATATGCAAAAAAATAAAGTATTAATTTTAATCTGCAATTTAAATTAGAATTTTAAAAATTAAATATTTCCTAAACTGGAAAATTTTTAAAAACAATTGTGAAATATATAAATGCAGTCTCTTCTGCAGGAATTTTTCATAAATACGAGGGCTGTTCGGAAAGTTCGCGGCCTCACATAGAAAAACAAACAAAATAATGTTAAAACTTTTTTTATTTTTCAACGTAATCTCCTCTGTTAGCAATGCACTTATTCCAGCAATGTTCTAGCTTTTTTATGCCATCACAATAGGTCGATTTGTCAAGGTGTGCAAAATACTCGTTCACTTCAGAGATGACTTCGTCATTTGAGTGGAATCTCTTTCCAGCCAAGAATTTTTTTAGGTTTGGAAAAAGGTGGAAGTCACTGGGGGCCAAATCAGGTGAGTACGGTGGATGTGNAATTACTACCCCAGTGATTATAACAAAATGTCCAAAAGTCAAGCATGGCTTTAAAAATTCAAGTCTCAGTGAATTTTGAACAGAAACACATATAGTTTTCATAAAAACATTCAGAACAACAGAATATTTTCTTGAAGTACAAATATTTTGTAGAAATTTTCCACAACTAGATGATGGTTAGATTTATTAGAAAATATTCTTTTTTGTAGAAATTTTTGAGGCCCCTTGAAACTTGAAGTTCTAAGCAAAAAGGTAACATAGCTTGCTTGTAAATATGACTTTGATGGGACAGATGTCAAAGCTAATGCTTTTTAATGCAAAGAGTGCAATTATATTTTCATTTATTTTTATAATATTATTTGTAATGATGCTTCCCGTTAGCAATAATTGTTTGTAAATTTCTCGATAAACAGCTACAAGCAGCATATATCATTATATCGGACTGTAATATACAATTAATTTTTTATGTTGACTAGTTACAAGCAACTCAGATACTAGTCCTATGATCTTGATCCAGATAAAGTAGCCATTTTGTAAAAATGCAGCTACCTCTGTAGTTCATGAAGAATGCAAATACCAGTGGTTCCTAAAGTGGGTGTTGAGTAAATCTTGGGTGAGTGGAAAGCAAGTGGGCAGCAGAAGGTGCCAGAGATGTGGTACCAAACACTGACCGTAGGCAAAAGTCGCCAACAAGTTTTCCCTTTTCTCTGTCAAAACGAGTAAGAAACATTGCATTTAATGGTTTCCAGATGTGGAAAATAATGTATGGACACAAAGTGGGAGGTTTATAGAAAAGGTTTTTCTAAGAATATTTCCGAGCCTTTCTCACACAGGAGAAAATGGGTTAGGGGACATTGGGTATAACTTTATGGAGGCAAGAGGGCGGTGACTCGAAAAAGTTTGGGAATATCTGCTCTATATGATACCCCTCTACTCTATGATACACCTTGTAATCATTTGGGCAGTTGGTGGCAAACAAAAATAATAATAATTCATAAGCATTAAATTGCTTGGAATTTGCTGTTTACCATTATATTGTAGCTTTCCTATTTTTATCTATTACATAAGCAGACCAGTTACAAAAATTGCTTATCTTATGTGTAAGTGAATTGTAAGAATTGTTTCATATATTTAATTCTATATAATATAATTATTCTTATTACAGATAAACTAATATTCTGAAAATTGTGGAGGGTTAGCAATGTAGATGCACAGTTACAAAAGTCACGACTTGCAGTTTGGCACTTTAAACGTTATGACTTTACATAAATTAAACTTCAAAATACAGCCACTTACAGCATCACTATCATTACAATGATTTTTTGCAGCAGAAAACATTGCATTTAGAATTCAATTCTTCAATAAAATGTGTTTAGAGAAAAATGGCATTTACAACATTATGACATTGCACACTTCACTTATGCTAAATTAAAAACTCATCTTAGAGTTTAAAAATTTTCTTAACATTAAATCAAAAAATTATTCGAAGTAAACACAACATAAAATATAAAAAACTGATGAAAAGTTTTACCTCACTAATGAATAGTTTAAAGTGAGTAGAAATACATAATGTAGTTCTAATAGCTTCATTTTCTATAATTCCTTAAACAGAACTAATTTTCATAAACAATTGTATGTTGGAAATCATACATGCATAGTCTATCCTATTTTTTCATTTCAACTAATCTTTTAATAAGAACATAGACTAAAGGGTGAGAAAAAACATTTTTTTATAAATGGCTTAATGGTAACATTTTGTTTAAAAATAAACTTTAGGTATTTTTTTAACTCTTACCTGATTTACATAAATTTCTCATTATTTTTATAAAGTTGTATACATGAAACTTGTATAATTTCTAAGAAAATAAAGATTTCTTGGTGAATTGATATAACATTATATTCAATTAATTATTAATTTTAAGAGCATAAATTGATAGCATTTATAGAAAATTTTAATATAATTACTACCCCAGTGATTATAACAAAATGTCCAAAAGTCAAGCATGGCTTTAAAAATTCAAGTCTCAGTGAATTTTGAACAGAAACACATATAGTTTTCATAAAAACATTCAGAACAACAGAATATTTTCTTGAAGTACAAATATTTTGTAGAAATTTTCCACAACTAGATGATGGTTAGATTTATTAGAAAATATTCTTTTTTGTAGAAATTTTTGANAAGGGTGAGAAAAAACATTTTTTTATAAATGGCTTAATGGTAACATTTTGTTTAAAAATAAACTTTAGGTATTCTTTTTTTCAACTCTTACCTGATTTATGTAAATTTCTCACTATTTTTATAAAGTTGTATACATGAAACTTGTGTAATTTCTAAGAAAATAAAGATTTCTTGGTGAATTGATATATCATTATATTATATTTAGTATACACATTATTCACAATTAATGTAAGCCTCAATAACAATTCTATTCCATTTACACATGCTATTAACGCTAGTCCAATAAGTGCTTTATTCTAATGGAATGCAATGTGATGAATTATAGTGGTTTACTTATACACTTACCATAATAGATTTTCTGCACTACAAACTCAGAAACAAAGTCTGTTAGATCAATTAAATCAACTTTAATAAAAGAGATCCAAACATATTAGATCATATATATATATATATATATTTCATCTCATTTAGTTACCCTGTATTTTCTTATACTAAACAAGCTATTCAGAAATTTGGACTATCTAATGGACCAGTTTCAAGCTTAATATATTATGCTCATTCCATTAAGGATAAATGTATTCACAAGAATTTGTTTCATGTACCAGTCTTGTCCTGCTCATGCTACAGAACTATGATCCCTTACTGATCTCCCTCAGGCTAATGTAATTTTTGGATCATTTAAAAAACCAATCTAAAACTTGTTATGTTACCTGTTATTTACTATAAACAAAGTAACACCATTGGTGCAAAACTCATTACTTTTCCTGGATTTCTTTTGTACAGCCTCCTCAGGAAATTTTGCTTTTTGATCTAGGTTAGTGATGGCAAAGTTATGACCCTCAGGACAACTTACATTTTTATAAATTATAAAAAACATATTTGATATATATTTCAAAACTTTGCATATGTAGTGTGAAAGTAGGCTCCTAAAGTTGTAAAAAGTCTTAAAGGTCACAGATTATGAACCTGAGAAAAATTATCATTAAGTAAACAGATTTCCCATTAAATATTTGTTTTCATTATAATCACATTATTATTTTCTTTTCACTTACATAGTTTATTATTATTTTTCTGATATAGATTAGAAAGGTAAAGTAAAATCTGTAAGTGCATTTCTTTGTTATTTTTTTTAAATTAAATGTTTGACTCATGAGTTGGAGTTAGTAAAATTCTAATTCAATTTTGACTCACCTTCAGGAAAAGCATTTAATATGTTTATTATATTGATATTTTCTGTTGTGTTTAATATGTTTTTTGATTGATTTTTTTTTATTTATTTAAGTATAATGTTCCAACTGAAGAAAGCCTATAGTAGGCCAAAAATGTTTTTTATTAATTAAATATATTACTGGAGTTCTACAAGTATACTGCTTTTTAATTTCCTGGTACAATCAGTCAAAAAAATGACCCACCAAGAGTTTTTACCTTTTTGGACTCAGGATACCTTGAAACATCCAGAAATGCAAAAAAATTTGGGAGTTTTTTCTGTATGTATTGATGTTAATATGTGTGTGTGGGGTATGATTTTATTGACCCTCTTTCAAGCTTAATAACTCCTGTTCATTTTGTTGAAAATTTCTGAAATTTTGCAGGGAAGTTTGTGTATTTGATTCTATTAAATTTTGGTAATTAAAAGTCAAGGGAGTGGGGAGATAAAGGGGTTGTTTGTATCTCCAGTATAGTCAGACTTAATGACAATTTTACTCATTATTAGCATTTACAATTTTTTTTTTTATAAAACTCATCCCTACCCTCAAAATTAAGTTTTTTGCCATTTTATAATAGTTAAAACTATAAAAAGTTTTTAATAAAATTAAGTTAAGGAAAGTTAAGCAACTCATTGCTGGATTTTTTCATTTGGTTACTTCTAAAGTTGTGTTATAGTTATTTTTCTGTTGGAAAAGGTTCACCATCACTGACCTAGACAGACAGGTAGAGATCATTTTGTCAAGGTCACATGATATTACTGTTATGATCTTATTAAATTAATCAAGAAGTAAACAGGTCACATGATGTTAATATACAAACTTGTTGCATTACTCAAAAACCACAATAAAAATAATTCTTCCAATCCTAAAATTTTTACCACTTTACTCGAAAATCAGCACTCTCCCAAAAAATTTAGTCCTGTTTTTTTATTAAATAAGCTTTCAAAAAACCCCTAAAAATCCTATTTTTATGAAGTAACTGGTATTTTGTATGATAAAATCCCTTTTATCATACAAAATACCAGTTATATCAGTATGATGCAAACCCATGAAGAAATTCCTGTTGACTTGTAATCATACAAAAATGATTCGTCATCAACAAAACAGCAAAATGTAGAAATGTCATGCAGTTGTGTGCATCACTGCAAGTGATCTTCATGTCATATGCTGGCCATGATGGATGTTGTTATTGGAGATTACCCATTCAATAAAAAATGGCATCTTAACTGCTTATCTTTAACTCAAATTATGTAATATCTATGAAACTAATTAGCCAAGTTCTACCTCAATAGTTAATTCAGTCTTATAGTTTGATCGTTACATATATGTAATATCATAACTTATTTAACATAATTACTTGTATCAATCATGTATATTTGGGTAATGAAGACTTGGTCTATGATTCTTTTAGTTATTTTAATTGTAGACCTGATATATTCATTTACTAGAAAGAAATATCTCAAACTGAACTAAAATTATTTATCTTTGTAAATTATTAAGTTCTCTGTTATAATTCTAAAAGTTACAATAAATTAAATTCGTTATAATGCTTTTGTATCATTAATTAATTAATTTTTATTCAAAAATCTATCAGTTATTTTATTATAGATAATTTAGACTAGTTTATTCTTGTACATTATTAAATTTTTCAAAAATTTCTACTGGAATTGATTAATATCTATTTACAATTGATTCTCATTAGACAGATCCATTATCATCAATTCATTCACTGTAGTTTTCATTTTAATATTTATTATTTGCGTATCATTTATTATATTTTTACTCCCATTATTGTATTTTTTTATAATTTTATCCAATTGACTGTTTTATACACTTGCTTACTAAGGATATATTGCATTGTTCTCTCTCAGCTGCTTTGAAATTTTGGTTACAATACAAGTATTACTCAATATCGTTTTATTTTACAATGACAAATCATTTAAAAATAAACAATATAAAGGTATGATAAGTTTGTGTGTCAGAGGTCAGTTTGGTGTGTCTATAGGGGATGATGCTACAGGAGTTGTTTTAAACATGTCCAACATGCTATCTGGTATTTACACCGTGACAAATTTTTATGAACAATTTGTATTCATTAAATTTTGTTTTAAACTAGGAAAAACAGCTATGGAAATATATGAAATGTTAAACACAACTTTTGAGAACAGGAACCCAAATTTTTGAGTGGGTTTTTTTCAGCTTAAAGGAGACAGGATATCTATAGATAATAATGTGTGCTTTGGTCAATCAATGTCATATTCAACCAGCCAAGGTCAGCCAATGTTGAAAATCATGAAAAAATTCATCAGATTATCAACAAGAGTTGTCAGAACCATTGATGAAGTAAGTCAGTGCAGTTATCAGTCATGGGAACTTGTATATGACAAATTGAACATGCAGTGGATTGTAGGAAAGTTTTTAAACTGCTTAACCGTAATGATCCTGCTTTCAGTAGCTGTCCTAGGATATATGGAGGGACGGATCATATGAAGGTTTATATTTGTTCTTGCAATTTTCTTTGGGGTATATGCCATCCCTGATTATCTGAGTGAAATTATGATATTTAGAACATGATGTTCTATATACTGTTCTTATAAAAGTAAATATGAAAAATGTTGAACTCATTAGTCATCAAAATATCTAAATTCTTTCACAAGTCAAATTATCATATTCAAATGTAGTGTCTGAAAACACAAGATAGTTTATTTGGAAATAAACAATAATACTATATTTAGGTGCTAAATGTAATGGTATACATCTATATAATAAATTTAACACTAAAAGACTGTATTATTATTTTTATTTATGATCTTCAGTATACTATATATCAGGGGTGGCCAACTTTTGTGTACATAAGATCTATTTTTATCTTAAAAAAGTGTCGCAATTGACTTTTTGTCATAGGCATAGTCTAAGTAGCAAGGGAAGGACGTGGAGGTCCGATATCACTACAGTTGCGTTTGCGTTCGGTTACAAGTGTAATACATTAATTCAAGACTTCGCGAGCGATTGACCAAAATTGCCTTCCCGGTCGATCGCAATTGACTTGTTGGCCACATCTTCTATATATCATTATACTGTTACAGTGAAACTTGTGAAAACTGAACTTGTACAGTACCAAATGTTTTTACAATTTGGCAGGTTTCCCTTTTGACAGGCTTTTCTTAACAGAGAAAATCAATTGCATTCCTAAGAATTTTTCCCATTTAGGTATGTTTCCCTTTTATTAAGGTTCTGTTTTGGACATATTTTATTGTGTTTCTTATTTGGATTTAATTCATATCATGAACTTTTGTTCAAATTGACAAATTGTTTAGATATATATTATTATTTTGAAGTGAAAAAATATTTATTATATAATATTATAAACAATATCCACTTTTTAATGAGATTAAATAATTGTATTAGTTGTGTCATACAGCATCAGTCAAAAATGTAGAAGCCAAATACAATTACATATACCAAACACTATATTTGGTTTATATTTTTTATATTTTATATAAATAATTGTATGTTTGTAAATTGTTTGATTTATAAATGTTTAATTCTTGTGAATAAATATTAATTTTATGAACAATTTTTAAGATATGCAAGTCTATATTTTTGCTGTGCTATTGAACAAAGTGATAATGAACTTTTGACACTTGAAATTATTCATCGTTATGTGGAACTACTTGATAAATATTTTGGGAGTGTAAGTATAGAAAAAATATTTATTAATTGAAAATTGAATTGATTAAAGTTTTAATAATAAAATGAGATATATCCTGTAAATTTTTACAATAACTTTAAATTATTGTTAATTATTGATAAAAAAAATTTATTTATTTTTATTTGGCTATATAAAAAAAGAAATGAGAGTTTCCATTCTACATTTTATTTTTATATCTTTCATACTTACTTATTAGGATGCATCTATAGCTTCTGTTTTTATCCTTCTAAATAAACTTGAATATTTAAATGAACAAGTCTTGCATTTACAGTTCTATATTATTATTATTCTTGTTGTACAGAAATAATAATAATTTAATTTTTCATTGATTAAGATTCAAATGATGATGATAAAATCATCGTAATAGTGTGGGGGCCGAGGGGGGGGGAAACTCGATGAACGATTATAGGCGATATATAAATCGTCATCGTCTCCCCTGCCGTCTGGATTGCCGAGTGGTAACAATCGACGACATGTGGAAGCAGTTGAGTCAAAGATTGATGCTTCGTTTACAAACAACACAACCGTTTATTTTCAATAAACACGAAAGAAGCTTACAACATTTCCGCGATCTTGGGAGTTCTGCGGTGGTTGCGGCTTCTGGGTCTTCCTCTCGTTTCCACGATAGTCCCATTTTGAATGAGTGTCCTTGGTTCGTGAAGGACCCATTTCATCGACGTCTCGATGACTCCGGACGATGCTGTCGACTTCCGGTGACGGAAAGATGTCGATCCGAGGTCGGGAGATGGAGACGAAGATGGGTGCGAGACACAACACACTACAACAGGTCCGTCACTTGGAAGTTTCGGGAGAAGAAGCCGTCGCGTCCTTGGATTCCCGGGGTTTTATCTGTTTTCCCTCAGATTCCCCTTTCCGATTGGTCTCTCCTCGTCACTTGATGACAATTTGAAACCTTTCGGGGGCGCGGGAGAGGTCAAAATCGAAGTTTAATTCGATCTCCAACCGGAGATGGTCGACGGACTTACATTGTTCTATTGTTTTAAAGTTAGCGTCGCGTTTTCATAAAATAAAAAGCTATTTCTAACTAATATATTATTTTCTCTAAAACCATTATTTTCCGCGAATTTTAGCGAGGATTCGGACCTGTCCAGAGCCTCACAGAGCTCCCCGCCATTTTAAAATGTCGTAACGCAATAACGACATTTTAGCTGGCAGCTCTGGAAGCTGTCAGTCCCTTCTCCCTTTGTTTGCCAAGTGAGGTAACAGTGACACTTGCCTGAGAACTATTTTTCTCTGGCACGTGTTCGGTTTCGTGTTACAACAAAGTTCTTTTTTTGATACATTATTTCAGAGGTATAGAAATCGTTTACAATTCATCCAAATGTTCATGTAACATCACATGTCTGTTTATAAGATTGATTACAAACATTCAAACAACAATTACGGTCATCGAATAACATCTTAACAACTTAAATGCTCGACAAAAATTTTCTAAAACTTTTTTTTCTCGTTTTTAGACTGAGCAATTCACATAATTCGTAAATAATTCACAAAATTCTATTAAAGCCTAAAAGAGGGACAACCTTTTATCTGTCACACTTAGAAAATGTACGTAAAAGTTTCCTTAGGTGCCGTCACTTCCGTTACACGGAGTGTTGACCTAACATCCAGTTATGTACTTTTGTTGCTGGCTGTATCTCCTTGTTCAAATTTCCAGGGAAAATTTGACGGAGTGTTTTTCGATTATTTGAATCAACTCGATATCTGAGTGTCGGTTCTTCGAACAAGTAACAACTGTGCCATCTCTTGGATGCAGTCAGTCCCAAACCAAGGTCACTGTTCTAAGTCTACGATTCCCAGAATCGATTGGTTGATTGAAAATTAATTTGGAATTCGGAAGTGATTTAGGACTGTTATCAATTGAACAAGTGACAGTTTTCTGTCATTGGTTTTCTTCCAAAGCAGATTACCACAAATCAAGGTCCTCATTCAACTTCGTGTTCCGTTTTACTTCTGTTCTATACTCCGTTTTACAATGGTGCATTTAAGCCAGTTTTTGGTTGTGACTGATATAATTACTTTTTCATATAAATTTTGGGATGAGGGAAATTTTCCTAAAATTTGAACCATATGAATTACTCTATCTTTAACCAATGTTCGTCACAGGAAAACTCGATTGCGACAATTCTGTTTTTCTTTCAAAACGCGAGTTTTCTCACTATAACAAAATAACTGTTTCAATAATACAAGTACAAGCAATATTCTGTAACGAATTACAATCAAAATTTTCGTTTAACCACAATCGGATCACATGTTTCTTCATGATGATCATATCATGTGGGAACTTTTTCTGGGAAATACCATTGACAAATTCCAATTCGCGACAAACATATATCCTGTCGATTAATGCAGGTTCAAACCAAATTACATATTTACTTCTAAACAAAATTTTCACCGAAGAACACATTGTTTCCGTCATTATTATCGGATTGTATCATCCGTTATCTACAATCAAGTAACATTGACATTATCAATTCACGACAAATAATTTGTATTACTTTTCTTATTTCGAAACATTTTCATTTAAGGTGACCTCTGTTCTCTTTAACAAAAGAGAAAGAGCTCTCCTTTTACAGTTTATACTTTATTTGATCCGAGTTGGCAGCAATAATCTGTTTCGACCTTCGGTTTGGGGAAATGACGTAGTTACGTCGTAAACAGTGTCATCTTAGGTTCTGTCTTCCGAAGGGAACCTTATGCTACTACTCTTTGGACTTTATGATTTTTTTGTTCTCACTTTCCTCTTTTTTTTTCACTCGCGTGCAATTATATACCTCTTATTATTTAAAAGATCACGTTTCGTCGCGCTGTATTATTCTTAAATTTTAAAGTCGTTTGTGTTTTCCTTTTTCTGTTAATCTCACAGAAGGGTGCAAAATTTTCGCTCCTACAATCACCAAAAAAGCCAGTGATTTCATGCGGATTATTTGAGTTTTAATGCGCGTTTCTACTTTCCTATTTTCACAAAATATAACAGCTACTTTATAATTTCTTCTCGCTGTTTCTACAAAGTCTTCTATTCATTTCTTCTAATTAAAATATTCGCTCGCTCGCTTTTAAAACGGATCAGACTCACAGAATAGCGCAAAAAAGTGATTCTCTGCTTCCTCGTATGGATACTCATAAGCAAGTGTTTCGGGCCAATTATAACTTTTTTTTTTCTACATCGCATAATCCTTTTTCTGGATTTACAGAATTTATTCTATATTTCTATTAGTCCGTCTATTTTTACGGATTATTCGATATATTTTCTAAAATTATCTTATCAATTTTTTTCTCAAATTCTTATATAATTCTACTTATTCTAATTTTTGCGAATTCGCATATATATTTTTCTATAAACTGTTCTATTCGTATAAGTTTATATGTATCTCTACTATTTTGTAAGAGATCGCTTTGGCAGAACAATTGTTTGCTTAGCTAAATTGCCAAAACAAAACTGAGAACTCGATTAGATAATTGATTATCCTAATCTGCCATTCTCCTGCCGCAAATTAAAACTACGCGTGTAAATTTTTTTTAACGCCTATGCTTCTATTCTAGGTTTATTTTAGATCTCTAAATCTATGTTTCTAAATCTATATCGAAATCTAAATTGCTCATCGGTCGTTTGTGTCCGCGAAGTCCGATGATCTAATTCTAACGCGTTTGATCAGCAGCACGCCCAATCTCCTAGGGAAATTGTCCATTTCTCCAAAGGTCAAAGAACACGAGTGGGCTGCCACTTAAATTACATAATCACACGAAGCATCCGTCTCTGTCTTCATCGTTCGTGCTCCCTGAGCTCCAAAAATGAATTTTGGCCTCGGCTTCCTCACCAAGTAGGGAGTGCGGATGATGAGGTATGAGGCAACCTCATCTTCCTCAAAATATCCCACTCCTGACACCAATGTGGGGGCCGAGGGGGGGGAAACTCAATGAATCGATGAACGATTATAGGCGATATATAAATCGTCATCGTCTCCCCTGCCGTCTGGATTGCCGAGCGGTAACAATTGACGACATGTGGAAGCAGTTGAGTCAAAGATTGATGCTTCATTTACAAACAACACAACCGTTTATTTTCAATAAACACGAAAGAAGCTTACAACATTTCCGCGATCTTGGGAGTTCTGCGGTGGTTGCGGCTTCTGGGTCTTCCTCTCGTTTCCACGATAGTCCCATTTTGAATGAGTGTCCTTGGTTCGTGAAGGACCCATTTCATCGACGTCTCGATGACTCCGGACGATGCTGTCGACTTCCGGTGACGGAAAGATGTCGATCCGAGGTCGGGAGATGGAGACGAAGATGGGTGCGAGACACAACACACTACAACAGGTCCGTCACTTGGAAGTTTCGGGAGAAGAAGCCGTCGCGTCCTTGGATTCCCGGGGTTTTATCTGTTTTCCCTCAGATTCCCCTTTCCGATTGGTCTCTCCTCGTCACTTGATGACAATTTGAAACCTTTCGGGGGCGCGGGAGAGGTCAAAATCGAAGTTTAATTCGATCTCCAACCGGAGATGGTCGACGGACTTACATTGTTCTATTGTTTTAAAGTTAGCGTCGCGTTTTCATAAAATAAAAAGCTATTTCTAACTAATATATTATTTTCTCTAAAACCATTATTTTCCGCGAATTTTAGCGAGGGTTCGGACCTGTCCAGAGCCTCACAATAGTAATAAATTATTAATAAGAAAAATAAGAAAACATACAGTATCTGTTTTATTTCATTGAAGTCATATTCAGAAAACTATACAATATACTCTTGCTAATCTGACATACTTCCATTGTGATCACCTGCACTTTTGTTTCCATGAAAATGTTAGTCACATTACACATCTTGTTCTCTCATTTACTCAGTTTCATTTCTGTATATGGTATTGCATGTCAGTTCACCATATTATTTATCCAAAAAATAATTAGTAACAAAGAACAATAGGTCATGTCATTCATTGTGTTTGAGTAGGCTTTAGGCCTATACATACTCAGTAATTCAGTACCCCAGTGGTGCACTCAGGATGTAATCTTGGGGAGCCAAGTTAAATAGTTACAATAAAATTTAACTATTTTATTTAATGATGCTAATTCATGAGAAGTATAAAAATAGAAGGCATGATACAATATAAATAAAAACAGAAATATTAATTAATAAAAATTTTTTGGAAAACTTTTTAGTATTTCTTTCCTTTTTCTTTAGAGGTGGGCAGGATCTCTTTGCCCCTCCTCTGAGTGCACTGCTGTTCAGCACTTTTGCAGATCTGGCACCACTATGTAGGAATGGCCAGATTAGCAAGAGTCTAGTGCAGGGGTCCCTAAACTTTTTTGACTTGTAAAGGATTCCCTGACATTTTACTGACTTCCTTTTTTGTTAATACAGTTAATAATAATAATTATAATAATTAAATTTGATGAGCCAATATTAATCCACATAACTATTTTCATAGAAATGATCTACTTATATTAATGATCTCACTAATTTACAACATCCTGAACTGTCATATACATAACTTATTGGACTAATAATTTTTAATTAATCATTTTCAATCTACCCCAATTAACCCCTGACTAATTTTCAACCCCATAAGATGCTTTATTCACCTCTGGGGTTAATAACAACCACTCTAACCTAATGTAATATGCTGTGTATGCATTTGCATTTAATGTAAATTATTCTTTATATAATAACAGAATACTGGAGTTTCAAGAATAAAATTTGAAACTTTAGGCCTGTTATCTATATATTGTCATGCTGTAATTCTTGTTTTGATAGGACACCATGTTATTCTATACTTAAATAAATCCTAATATTCTTCAGCTGTTACATTTATCATCAAGAGTTAGTTTACTAAGTATTGTATAATATAAAACTTGTTGTGTTGTGTATAATTAATGATATAGTTTAATCCTTGAAAATACATGTAACAGTATCAAGTCTGAAAATATTTTACTTTCAGTAAATTTTCAAAACTTATTATTAACAACTCTGATTCTTGCCCTTACATTAATATTATTTAACTTATTCTTACATAAACAGAGACTGTTGTAATTTATACCGTGTGGTTTTTGTGTGTGTGATAAGCCCTAAAATGATATATTAATAAAGTTTGTTCAAATATTATAATATACTGTATACTATAATATTTGGCATTGTTTTGTTTTTAAACGAATGTTTTAATTTTTAAAAAATACAGTGGAGCAGAATTAATACTATTTATAGTTTTAGCTTAAAAACAAGCTTTAAAAATAATAAAACTAAAAATATAAAATTGTTGATTTCATTTTTTCCCTTTATCTACTTTTTATCAAAGACAAAGAACTTAACCAAGGTTACTCAGAACAGAAAAACAATTATTTATTTTTAGCCCAATAAATACCCCAATTAATTAGAACAATTATTTGGTTGAGGAAAAATTTTATAATAAAAAAAGACAATTTTTACAGTTTTGAATAAAATAAAATTTGTCTAATATTTTTGTTTCTGTGTTAATTCAAATGAAAATGGATATGAAGAATAAATGTAAATATTTATCATCATCGGCCATGGTATATTATGCTATTCTAACATTCTATGGTTTTCATATTATTTTTTGATGATAATTTTTTTGCTTGTCTTGTGGTTCTTTTTATGTTTATTGCCCTATGTTGATTGGTGTAGTATATTTCTAAACATGATTAGGATAAATAAAGAGAATTTTCTTTTAGGTTTGTGAACTGGACATTATTTTTAATTTCGAAAAAGCATACTTCATCCTTGATGAGTTGTTATTAGGAGGTGAAATTCAAGAAACTAGTAAGAAAAATGTGCTTAAAGCGATTGCTGCACAAGATTTATTGCAAGAGGTATGTATTTACATATTAACATTTTATTATAGCTTATATAAAGAGAAACTGCACTTATCAATGATATTAAAATGATTTCTTTTTATTTATGAATTTGATTAAAATTAGATCATAGAATGAAAGATTTCATGTAATTCCTAATTTACTGTTTATATTTGAAAATGTAATTTTATGTGTTTACTTTTTATGAAATAAGTAAGATATATCAAAAACAATTTTTCTTATTTTGTAGTTTTTAATTATTATTTTGTTATATGTTTGGTTGTTATATTTAAACTATTTGGTCTGTCAGTTATGAATTAATTAACTTTTTTTACTGCATGTTGTATTTTATAGTATAATATTGCAAATTAGTTAATATAAAAATTGTGTTTAGAGAGTTAAGAGTATTAACATTGTAATGTTAATACTCTTAACTCTCTAAACACAAAATCAGCCAAATTGGCTTAATCCATTAAAGACAAAATCAGCCAATGGAAAAGTTGTTTGACTGGTTTTTCTATACGAGTTTCCCTTGTAACCTCAAAGGTAAAAACAATTTAGTCTCTAGGTACGTGAAAAGAAAGAATTTTCAGAGCTTAAAGAGTTAAGCACTGTCTTATTTGAAAGAAATGATGTCAATTCATCTAGCCAAAATTTAATATACAATAATAACAAACCTCCAATTGCCGTATATCATCGGGCTATAATTTGATGATGATAATTATAAATTACTAATGAATTTGACCCTAGAGGGTGGCATTAGGGGCTAAATTTATTAATAATTTATAAATATCATTACCAAATTATAGCCTGATGATATACGGCAATTGGAGGTGTGTTATTGCAATGTATTGGGAGTTAAGATGTTTAAATTTACAATAATCTTTCTGTTAGAAAAATAATTGGAAAACAATGAAAAAATGCCAACTGGGCATGTTATTTTCAGAAGCATTTTTATACTGGATGGGGTAAGTTCAATAGACAGAATGGCTGGGAGAAGTGCCATTACAGCAAGAGTGACATTTGGAACATTTTTTATGCTTCTAATTATTTTAAATGAAATTAAACAGTAAAATAGGTGCAGTAGGATTAATATACATTAAATAAGCTGTAAAATAATGTATAAAACGTAAATATAATCCTTGCACAAATTGGAAATAGAATCTGCTTTAGTGTATCTGTATATATAGATATTTATATAATAATTCATTATCTCAGATGTTATAACTCAGTCTCCAGTCAAATGATTAGCTGAATGAAGTCTCAGAATAAATGTCACCAAATATTTGTTAGTCATGTCAAATTCTAGTGTTAATTGTTGAAAGTCAGAAAATACATTATACACACTGTCCTAAATATTTGCATTGTGATATTATTCATGAAGGATTGGAGCAATTTTATTTGTTGTGTCTGAGGTATTTTTGTTACTTTTCTATGCTTTTTTCATACATAAATTCTATAAAAATGAAAAATCTATAACTCTTGCCTGAGATTACTTAGAAAAGACACTGAAGTTTATAAGATAACATGTCTTGAATCATCTAGAGCAGGGGTCACCAAACTTTTTCACAGCGGGACACATAACTGAGAGAATGACAAGCATGGACCGCATAATCATTTTCTTCAATACAATATACTAAATACACAAAAAATAAAGACAATTAACATTTTATGTAAAATGTTTTATCTGAATTTCAGCTGAAGACAGAACAAATTTCAAAAACATATACTGTATTTTCAATAAATTTAGTTTTCTAAATTTTTGAATTCTATAATATGTATTATACATATTATAGAATGGACTTTAAATGGAATTTAAATTAAAAAATTTTCCTCTATGAATTATAAATTATATGGTATTTAATTCTTTAATCTGATGATTTATTTGGTATTTATAATTCTTTATTTGATAATATATAGAAGAAGATTAAATAAATTTATTTTTATTATACAGTTCAAATTATTTTAATATAAATATTTTGTTACAAAAAAAATAATATCTGCTTTTTCTGTTTCTTTTATAATAAAATTAGATCAACAACTATCTATCAGGATTGAAATTAAGTTTATTACTCACAAAAATATATGCTAGTACTTTTGTTAGTGCATTACTCTCATCCTCAGGGAAATAAATTTTGAATTCTTGAATTTCAAAAGGAAATTTGAAAAAGGGAACATATTTTGAAAATTCTTAAAATACAGAATTTCAGCTGAAAAGCAGTTGTTTGAGCTAATTTTATTGTGAAAATTGGCATCAAGTATATCTTGAGATTGGTTTATTTTATTTAAAACAGTTAAAAACACTTCATAAACACTACTTTTTGGAAAACATTAGGTAAATAAATTTCTTTGTTCCTAAAAGCAGTATTTGTGGAGTTTTTTAATTGAAAAAATATGTATTTCATTGTTATACTGTACAAAAATATTTTCAGTTATTAATTTCTTATCATTTAAACATTCTTTCATACACAAAGGATGAAATGTTAGAAGCAGCCTTGAGGGAAAATGGGCTCATCTAAATCTGACATTACAAACTGTGCTGATACATCAAATTCCTAACATCTTAACGTCCCTTTCTATTCATTAATTTCATGGAAATTGTATATTTCGTGTTATTGCCACATTTTCTATGTTATAAATTTGTTACTTTATATTTATATATTAAGTTAAAACGATAACGTTTTTTTCTAGTCAATTCATGTGAAATATATTATACAAGAAATTTATTTAATTCATTTGTTACATTTTTTCTTCACTACAAATATTGTTTTATAATTCAAATTTTAAAAGTTAAATCCATTGTTATGTATGATGTATTGGTGACGTATTGTAATATTATACAATTATCAGTATTATTTTTGCGTATACGATGTATTTTGTAAATTGTTATGACTATACGTAATTCCGAGATGTTTTATCTTATCAGTCTCAATAAGATTTAAGATTAAAAGCTATTATTTTTGCTTTTTTTTTATGACATTGTTTATATAAATGCTTAGTGCTAAGTTTTATTGAAGAAAAACAAGTGAATTTTAAAAATTAGAAATAAAATATTAAAATAAATGTATTTTATAAAAATATAACCAAAGATAATTTATAATAATAAAAAATTCGTATTACAAAATTAAAAAAAATACAAACTGATACCATTTTAAATGTTTTTAAATAAAATTCCATAAAGATATAATTGCTTTATTAGAACATATAATGATATGAAACAAAATCAAAATATTTCTGAGCTATTCGTCTTCAAAGTTAAATTTAACTAAAATCAAATTGCAATATAATTAAGAATAATGCCCAACTTTTTTAATTTTAAATGTTCTTTTTAATACAACAACAATAATAATAATAATAATCTGAAAATTGCTTAAGGAAACTTGAATGTTTATTTACATTTCTAATATGTTGAAGCGAGAAACATCCATCTTCAGGAATGTCATAAAAACTACAGGAAAGTATGGCATTCAAATTAAAAATTATTCCTGGTTACTTAAAATATAAATTTGAAATAAAATTTGAAATAAAATAAATTACCATAATTTTCTGTACATAACCTGGAGGCTATCTGTATTTTAAAGCAAATCTTAAAGCAGGTGCAGGCTATGCATTCTAGCAAGTTTTGCAGGTTATGTCAGGAAATTATAGTATAAAAATACTAGAATGACAATATAAAAAACGGAAATTACGATACATAATTCAATTTAAAATATGAATAAATAATTTATAAAATTTTAAATTTGTACTGGTCTTTTTATGTCTTTACAGGCTACAGGGAGAGTTTCATTATCATATTTATTAATAGCATTAATATTTTCAAGGTCTTAGTTACTATTCATTTCTTTCCTCTTTAACTTGTTAATACCAAAATGTTTTTAAAATAAAAACTTTGTTTAAAATCAGCATTTTAAGTTGTTTGGGATTCATTTCTGTACGAGTTAATCTACCTCTAGTTTTTATGACATTGAATGAGAAATATCTAACTTCAGGAAATATGCAAGAACATTAAACAGAGTTCTTAACATTTCTATGTTATGTTATAATTAGTTTCATCTTAGTTCATGTTTTAAAGACAAACAAAAATGTTCAAAACATTTGGACTTTGTTTTATATTATTTAATGTTTTAATAAAGTGTTATATCTTTAGAATGTCTTTGTATGCAAACTAGAGCATTTTGGAGTTCAAAAGTAAGTTCCTTTAAATAGAAAGCAAAAGGTAAAATAATAAAAAATTAAAACCGAAATAAGAAAATTCAGCATTTATTCTTTTATATTTTTTGATAAATAAATAAATAAATATATATATATGTGTGTGTATGTATTTATATATTTTTCTCTTTTTTAATTTTTCTATGCTGTTTTTAAACTTCCCATATTACCATATTGTGAATTTTTAAATGTGTGTTTTTATCATTGAGATGTCTTCCTCCTTAAAAATGTGCAGTAATAAATAACAATTTTGTGTAATTCATCCCATTAATAATTTTAAAATATTAAAATGAAATTTAATTGTAGTTATAATTATAAATAAATAAACTATTGTAATTTTATTAATAATTTAAAAGATATCATTTCTCAATAACTTGCTATAAAAGTTGTTATTTAATATTGAAGCAATAATTAAAAAAAAAAATGATTATTTAAATTCTTAAAATATGTTTTTTTTTTCTATAAATGTATTTGTAATGTGAGGGAGAAAAAAATGAAACTCAAGTACTTATTTTTAATAATTAATTTGCCAATTTGTCTATGAATATGGAATTATTCAAGAAAAAAATTGCTTATTTTCGAAAATTCCGCTTTCAAGATAATAGAAATTATACAGAGGACTTCCATATATAATTAATATTTTCAAGAAGAGATGACACATTCCAATGCATTTTGGCTAATTGTTTAATAATAAAAGAATGAAAGAGTACAGAGCAATGTGATAATAAGTCATCAAAATCTTATATTATTTAATTAAAGTGATTGAATAAGAAATATTTCATATGTTTTATTTCAAAATTTTTATATAT